AAATGCACTACTCACTATGGTCTATTTTGCCTCCTCTAAAATTGAAGCTTGTAGTTTCAAATACCTTACAATTCACTAGCTTCTAATTACTAATTCTGTAAAGAGGATTGATTTTCAAAACAGACACAACAGTGGTTTTATTAAGGTGAAAAATGTGAAACAACCCATATGGACTAGGAAATTTTTGAAAACAAAGGACTGAGTCATTATCTCATGACAAAATAGAATTTGAGGATAAAGGAACACACTCGGTAAATCGTTGAAGACTGTAGCTAACCTTGTGAGGTACAACCATGTGATCACTTTGTGAAATGAGACCCATCACATTTGAAGTGTTTTCTTCCTTATACGATTAATATAATGCTGTAAATCATATATGCATGTTTTCATTTTTTATCTTATTCGATTCCAGATTCTGTGGTATATGAAGTGTTTTCTTTGTATCTTAATGTTTAAGTATTGTTCATTTGACATAATAGTATGTTCAAGATATGAATAATAAAGAAAATAACGAGTTTTCAAAGAAATGTCTTCCTCCTCTTCACCTCACTTCCTTTGTCATCTTCTTCCTTCCTGCCTTCCCCCCCTCCTCCCATTTGGGAGGGAGTCAGACCTTTCTTGGTTAGTTTGTAAATTTGTTCCTTCACCTTGACAAATATCAACTGTAGCCAGGTGAGGGAAACTACAGAAGTCAGGCAATACAAACTGGAAATGGGCATTCCTCGGGGGAGGAGTGCATGTGACTTGTGGAGACAGAGGTCTGGCAGCAAAGAGAAAATATGGAAGAAAGCATCCTTTTAAATAAAAGGACAGAATAATGAACCCTGAACAACTAAAAACTGTTTATGATAATAAAAGACATCTAAGTACTTGAATATTACAGACGGCCACAATCATGTCAATGTACTCTCTTGAACCTCCTTCCATAATGTGAATGGCTAAGTGCTCACAAACCAGTTTTTACTTGAAAATATATGTTGAGAAGTCTGCGTATGTACAGTAAAATATACACAACAACTCTTCAGCCTAACCATTTGTTTCTAATATCAAATTATTTGAATGTACATCAACTGCATTGTGAAGACAGCAAATAATAGGTCACTATAACAAAAGTGAGCTGGAGTTACTGGACGACAGCAAAAAACATGGCAGATAAACACATTCACATTTCTGTTTACATAAAACTAGAAAAGTCTCATAGATGAAAGTCAGCTTATTTTATTTTATGAGGAAAAATGTTATACAAAATATATTTTTTTTCTGAAGTGTGTTTCACTATTTTTACATATTCTCAGATGAGAAAAGATTTAAAATAACTAATCTTCAGAGATATAAAATATTGACTAATGAACAGATTTAATGTTTAGTTACACTCACTGAATGAAGTTTTATTCCTTGAGATATTGCAGAATAACTCCATACTATGTTAAACACTTACCAAATAGGACTGTAAGCATAAGTATTAACCCTTCAATGTTTATTATCCTTCTGAGAACAACTGCAGTATAAATGTTGGTTTATGTCTGTTTAATGAGGTCGTATTTTTCTTTTATTGACAAACTGTAGGACTCTCGCTTTGCTGTCTTCACCTATTCACCAGCATCCTTGAATAAGAAATGATGATCAAATAAGAAAGACCAATGAACAAACAGAAGCAAACAAGTTAAAGGAAAAGCCAGCATCCCTTCTGTCAGAATTACTCTCTGTCTAGTTCGAGTCTGGGAGCCTGTGTAAACAGAGCTGTCAGCATGTGCTCATTCAGTTGTGTCCCTGGTTACAGGAATAAAACCATGCCATTAAGAAAGGTGATTCCCCAGAGATTCCAGGGAAAGACTGCCTATTCCTTGCCCTAGATTTTCTGACTCAAAACCAAAGTTGAACTTCTAGTAATAACAATTCTATAAAAGGTAAAATTTTGCAACAGGGAAAGTTCTCTCATACATAATATCTACTAGTATTTGTTTAAAAAGTGTTGGTAGTTATTGACATTTTACCCGATTGAAATACACATGGAAATAGTGGCAAAGCATCTCCAGGGAGAAACAGACATAATTCATCTAAATGTCATTGCAACATAAAACTCCCTAGCCTCTAATACCTTGGATGGTTCCTAGTTTAATATACAATACCAGAAAATACCCTTGTATTGGCCTATACTATCATTTAAATTTTTGTATTCAAATGAATGATACATTGAACATTCTTTTTCAATAATATGGTAATAAGACTTTTCACATTTGTTATTTATCTAATTCGCTTAATGGGTGCTTTATAAATATATTTTTCCTTTAGATTTTTTAATTTTTAAGTTTATGTGAGATAATCACATGTCTTTCAAATTGATCTGCAACTTTATTTGTATCCAGGACAATTAACATTTTAAATATTTTAAACATTTTATTCACTTACATTATCCTTCTGAGTGCTCAGAATACAGGTGGCTCCATCATCCCTGGTGAGCATAATGGGTTTCTATTATGTACACAAGAAAAACCATACTCAAATAAAAAAATAATAAAATAAAAAACCCATACTCCACTCAAATAATTGTTTTAGTAATAAAGTTGAAAAATATTGATTAGAGTTTATTAGTTTCATATATTAATTAATTATTAAGCTATGTTTTAGTATTTCATTGTGGAATGAGTAAAGATAAAAAAGTTACTTCAAATATAACAGTGTAATTTTCATTATATATATGTGTTTTTTCTTCTTTCTTCTATATGCACTGTTTTTCGTATGTTTGCATATGTATGTGTCCCCATACATATATATCTATATATAATCTATGTGGTATATATGCACATGTTATATTATGACTATATATATATATATATATATATATATATATATATATCAGCTAAAGATATATGAGTGCATTTTAATAACAGTAAAAATATGCAATGTCCACATTAGGCAATCTATCTTTATAAAAATATTATGGATACAAAATTCCAAATTGATTTTGGTTATATAAAAATATTTAATTTCTAGCTGAGGAATCAGGAATTGATAACAACTAGAAGAAAATTCCTTTTAAGCTTTTAAGTCAAGGTATAAAAGCATTCAGCATTGTTTTATAGGTACAAAATATTACTAGTTTGTCTTTGTCTTAGGTACTATCCTATTGCTGTAAAAAGATTCTATGACTCCCACTAAAAGCATTGTCTAACATTGGGTCCCATAGTTTCTGAGAATTAGCTTCCATAGCGATCATAGAGCATGTAAGAGTAGGGTTGAAAATGGAGCATTAGCTGAGAGCTTCCATGTTGAAGATGGAGAAAAACAGCCAAGTGGAATGATGTAGATTTTTGAAGCCTCAAAGTCCACCCAGCAAGGCTGCATCTCCTGATCCTTCCCAAACAATTTCCACAACCGAGAACAAGACATTCAAATATAAGAGTCTTTAGGGACAATTCTCACATAAACACCACATTCCACTCCATGGTCCCTGTATGCCCATAGCCTATGCATCACAATGCAAAACTTCGAAAGATCCCATAGTTATTCACAGTCTCAATGACGTTTCAAGTCTGTTGTCCAGTCTCTTCAAAACTCAAGGAAATCTTGGAACTGCCATATTCTGTTAAAAAAAAAAAAAAGTTAATAGCATATTGCCAATGGACAACGGCATAGGATTTACATTATTCCAATAGGGAAGGAAGGGGGGGTATTCAGAAATCCTGGACAAAAGCATGACTGAAAGGCCATGGGGCAAATTCTATTTCCTGTGGCTCTATGTCTAAAGTCAAACAGCTTAGATGGGCCTTTTTTTTGTTTCTTATTTTACATATTGATCCCAGTTCCCTTTCCCTCCCCCCTTACTCTCTCCCTCCCTCCCATTCTCACCGACCACCCTCCCATCCCATTTCTCCCTGCTACTCCAAAGGGAAGGTGATGCCTTCCAAATGAATCTGTCAATTCATTTGGAGTAAGGACTAGGCTCTCCCTCCTGACTCTAGGTTAAAAGAGTATCCTTCATGGGGAATGTGCTCCTAAAGTCCTTTTGTGTACCAGGGATACATCCTGGTCACTGTCAGAGGCCCCTTAGACTGCCCAGGCCTCCTAACTGAGATCCATGTTCAGGGGGGTCTGAGTTGGTCCAATGCTGGATTCCCAGCTATCAGTCTGGTGTACCTTAGCTCCTCCTTATTCAGGTCAGATGTCTCTGTAGGTTTCTATAGCCTGGTCTTGTCCTCTAGCTGATGGAAACAGAAGCAGACACCCACAGCTAAACACTGAGCCAAACTGGAATCCAGATGCAGAGAGGGAGGACAAGATTAGATGGGCCTTTCAAGCTTCTACTTCTCCATGTTTTTCTTGCAGTACACTTCTCTCTTAGGCTCATTCCACCTCTCTGTACATCACGCTTCCTAGCAGACACCTTATGGTTCCAACAATTGCAACATCCTGGGAACCCCAGTTAAATAGTCCCCACTTTCACAGCTTCATGTAGTAGCTTCCCTCAGCCTCCATGTAGGAACTCTCCTGACAAAAACTTGACCTCTTTTACCTTGCGGGAAAAATCTACAACCCCTTTAACACTGTATGGTTCATGACTCTAAAGCCAGACCATATGGTAAAAGCTGCCAAGTTCATCTGCTTGCTCATCTCCTTGAACTACATTTGAATGTGCTGTCATTACGTTTTCAAGTGGAGAAATTTCCTCAGGCCATTTTGAATTGCAAGTTGCAGAATTTCAGGACAGGGCTTGTTCTGTGAGCAGCTCTCACTTTATTCAATTTTGCTTCAGGCTTTCCCTTATCCCCTCAGCATATGCCTTCACACCAATATTAATTTTCTAGTGCTTATTTTCTCTTCACACTGCATATTGTCTATTTCTTTTGGTTATGTTTGCTATTTTTCATTGTAGAACAGCACAAGACTGATCACTAATAACCACACAACAGAGACAATATCTGCTGTCTTGAAATCTCTTCTGGCAATGAAATTAGTACAAAACTGTTCATTTTATCACCACGCATAATTATTATTTTTTTCTGGGGAGAGCACGAACACAGTCCCCCACTACCACAAATTATGCAGTTGAGTTTCTCCCATTTGGGGAAACTGCAAATGTCAGTATATCCAGAGTGCGATGGGTAGGGCTCACCCTGGGAAAACCACATTTGTGATCATGGTATTTCTGCTGCCAGGTAAGTATCACAGGCATAATTCTTAAAACAATAGCAAAAACCTCACCACATTCTTTGCAAAAATATCACAAGAATCATCTCTTGCCCAATTACTAATGTTTTTCTCTGAAAATCTTGAGCTTGTCCCCTATAGTCTATGTAGCTCTCAGCACTATTTTCCAATACTCTAGTATGATGGACTATCAATTCCAGGTCACACTATTCTACATATTTTGTATTCTAAAGTCCAAAAGTTGTTCATATTTTCCCCCTCCCCTAAACAGCATGATCAGGCTTGTCATAGAAATCTACCTCTCTCTGGGATCCACTTCTCTCTTAGTTATTCTTTTATTATTGTGAAAAGGCACCATGATCAAGAAAATGGGAAGAAAGCTTTTAATTGGGGGTTATAATCTGTGAACTATCATGGCAAGGTTCAAAGCAGTATACAAACAGGAATGGCTATGGAGCAGTAGCTTGAAGCTTATAGATTAAGACAACAAACAGCGGGTAAACACACACACACAAACACACACACAGGAAAGGGTATGGACTGGAATGGAATGGTTGGCATGGGTTTCAACAAACAGAATTCATATTCTCAGAGACATACATCCTCAAACAGTTTCACCAACTGAACATTACGAATACAAATATAGGCTGGGCAATCAGATGGACAATCTCAGAAAAACCACCTCAAGTGTTAGTACAATGATAAATGGGATATAAAAATCTTATTATATAAATTATGTCAGTACTTTGTCATTTCAAAGACAAATGAAATCAAGAAGAAAAAGACAACAACTGAGTGTACAAAGACGTATTTAGAGAAGGGAAGACTATTTCTTATATTCATCATTTATCAAAACAGCAAAATGAGGGGCATCTAATTGATTTTCTTTTTTTGATTGTTAGCAAATATTTGGTGGTGTTCCACTCCAAAGATTCAATAAAATAAACATTATATGGAGTAGAAAAATATATAAGCCCTGTAGTCTTTTAAGTTCATTTTATTATTGTATAACTTGTTGTTAAACCAAATTGAAGCCACTTTGTTCTCTAACATATAGAAGTCAACAGTTATTATAATTAGGTCTTTCATGTACATAAAAGTTTTGTGGATAATTGTATTATAGATTTTAAAGTGATATTCAATTTTGTAACCATGGTATATAATTGAATCTTTTATTTCTCATAAATGTTATCTTTATATACTTCTTTTAACCATTTAAGATTATGTTTCTAAATATGTAAATATATGAGCTAATCACACACATATAATATATATGTAAATATAAACTATAACCTGCCTATATTGTTTCATAAGTGTATATATATATTTTTTTATTATTATTTTAATTTATTATATATGCAGTATTCGGCCTGCATGTATTTCTGCAGGCCAGAAGGGGGCACTGGATCTCATTATAGGTGGTTGTGAGCCACCATGTGGTTGCTGAGAATTGAACTCATGACCTCTGGAAGAGTGGTTAGTGCTCTTAACCTCTGAGCCATCTCTGCAGCCTGAGTGTATATATGTTTCAAGGCTAATGTTTTCGTATTAGATAACCAATTCTTATGTTATTCCCTAGAGCTCTCTATTCTGTTCTTAGCATTCCTTAGGTTCCTGTAGTTTTTGTAGGAGACTGAGGCCTTATGATCTTCCACTTTTCATGTGTGAATATCCATTGTCCTTGTCCAGATCAATCTGAACAGAGGAGTCTCAAAAGAAGAGATAAGACATAGGTAAGAGAGCAAAATAACAGTAATGGTATCTGAAATGTCCTAACAAATAAAACTTTTAACTATCTACCTACCTTTAATACACGTACATTTGTGTGAGTGAATGTGTGTGTGTGTGTGTGTGTGTGTGTGTATATATTAAATAAAATTTACTATCTGATTTGACAATTCAAAAGTCAAAAGATAATCTAGGTAAAAACATTGACAGAAGTTATAAGAATCCTTCTTTAAGGTTATTGAACAGGGTTGTCAAAAAGGAAAATAATAAAATGATTATTCCTATTGCCAAGGTTTGATTCTCCAATTGTTGGAAGGTTCTGGAACAGATGGAAAGAAAGTCCATTTTGCTGAAGACATCATGCACTTCAAAGAATAAGGCTGCAAAGACTTTGAACTGTAACAGAGCTGAATGCCTTCTGCTATTCTGACATGTATTCATCATACTAGAAAATACAACATAAACTTCTAAAAGTGAGAAGTTGTCAACAGTCATCCCCAAGAATGACATACATACAACAATAATGACCATCATGACATAATAATCCTAATGGTGCCATAGAGGCACACATGATTAGGAGGAACCAAGAGTTCCCTAATTTGACTTAAAACACCCACTCAAGAGGGAAATAATGTGGGTACTAGGACCCTCTCTATTACCCAGGAATAATGAAATAATGGATGATGGAGGAAAACTTATAACTGTAACTACACTGAGCCAGTTAAATACTAAATGTGTTATAAGTACTTAACTTAAACCACTTAATAAATGTAGTCCTCACTCAGCAGGGAAACATCTCTTTGTAACAGAGACAATTACAGAACCACAACGGCTGCAGTTACAGAACTGTACATCGCACAGCCAAGACGTACATCCCTAAAACAACTCCCACACCCAAGTTTCAGGGAACTTTGCACAACTGGGACAGACACATTTTAAGGGACAGGTGATCATACTGTTTGATGTGAGATTTTTGTCTCTTAGGAACGTCAAAAGCTACATCTACAGAGTTTTAACTGCATGGCTGCCCAAACATGACCTGAGAAAGGACAGCAGTAGGTATGTTAATATGGTCACAGGAAATCCCAGGAGGCCTGGACCCTAGATAAAGAACTACAACTACTAAAGGATGCTGAGAACAAGCAAATGAAATAATCTCCAAGAAAGAGCATGGAAATTGGTTTATAGAAGTATAAATGGTATGGTATATTGTACAGACTGAGTGTGTTGTTCTTATTATGTTTGAAAAAATTCTTATAACATATCCATATATATATATATATATATATATATATATATATGTGTGTGTGTGTGTGTGTGTGTGTGCGTGTGTGTGTGTGTATATACACAAAGATAATATGGAGGAAGGAGAGGAAAAGATAAAATGTTATATTCTCAAAACATAAAAAAATTAAGAAAATAAAAAATATTAACTATTTAAAATGGAGATTTTGCAAAAAGTTAATCATGCCTACTAATTAGAGAAATGAAAATTAAAAACAACTTTTAGATTACATTTTACTCTAGTCAGAATGTCAGTGATCAACAAAATAATATTATCTTTCAAATTCAAGAAAAACTATTCCATTTATTTGTGTAATTACTTATTTGCTTGTGAAATTGTTAATTAATTTTTTTGCAATCTAAGTTTCTTTCCTGTAAGAATATTGTATGTATGTACTGCAGATAGATGTGAGCTTCCTAGCTACTAACTTGCATTTCAAATTCATTTCTTCATCTTGATAGTTTTCTATCAAGTTTTAGTAACATCAATTGTTAGAGAAAAGACACATTCCAATTTGATGTAACCATATGATGCAAAAAAAGAATTCTCTTCTACAATTGCCCTAAAACCTTCACATGTGTACTGTGACATATGTGTGACCCATCAATACACATAAATAAATGAGTAAAATATAAAAATGATGAAATATGCTAATCTCAAGACAACAATAAGACCTTTTTTTTTTTTTTTTTTTTTTTTTGACATTTAATAGGTTTAATGGGCAACATTGCTGATGTAATGCACTAAAAAGGGAAATCATATTCACTGCAAAGTCATGGCTTTTGAAGCCATTAGAACTCATTCTTTGACTTTGAAAACTTTCTCCCAGTTAGGTTTTCTCTCTACCTAGCAGTATATGGTGGAACTTAGTTTTGTGCTATCCTTATCTCCACACATTAAAAATTTGAAAAAAGGATAATAGAAATAACAGGTTGTGGGGTAATTTTACAATATGTTTCTAGTAGTTACACCTAGTGCAATTTTTTTACTATGTGCATGGCCTTTTGAATTCTTAATGTACAATGAGAAACTTCTTATTTAAATACAAAGTGACGTTTAGTCTACTTGAAAGTTTAATTTGGAAGTTATCTTAAAATGTATATATTTACATTAAAAACACAACTGAACGTATGTGATCTCACTAATTTTAACATTTCATGGTATAGTTTTAGCACATATTTCCCTAAAAATTAAATATAAAATGACCCTTTCAAATTAAGTGCTATGTTGACAAATAAAGATCACATTTGTCATGTAGAGGATATTGGCAGAGATTGAATTGTACTATAGGCCATTAAATAACTTAATTTTTATAGTAATTAATAGTTGAATGTGCGGTTTCTTATTTTATATAATATATTAGAATTTTGCATTCCTACAAAGATGTATTATTTTAATCACTGTAATAATTTCTGACATTTTATTTAATATATAAGCTATTCAATGGAATTTCTTTAGTTTTATTTGATTGACGGGTTAAAATAAATGACGGAATAAATCAGACTTCTGTTCCAATGCTTGGTCATATATGCCTCACTTTGTAAGACAAATCTGTGAAAGTTCACTTTACAACCTGTGAAAGGTTTATAGCAACCAGAAAGAAATCTCATAATGCCTGTGACAAATTAAGATCAAGACAAATTAGCAAATCAATTTCCAAATGTGAAAATATGTTGATTTTCTTAAGCTCTCTATCACAGTTGACTACAGACAAATTAAAATCTGGTGGGCTGACCTTGACCTACAATACAGTTTGTTTGTCTATTACCAACTAATGTCTGGCCTTAAAATATGACTTCCATTGTATATGAATTACAGTAGCAATTGTCCTAAAATTGCTACTAAAATTTAGTAGCAATTGTCCTAAAATAATAATTTTGCTCTAAAATTGCTTCAGGTAAATCCTCAAATACAACACAATAGAATGGATATATAATGTTTGTAAGTTAAAATAAAGCAAATTGCCATTCCTTTACCTGCCAATACTGTACTTTCCTGTATAC